CCCAGATGAGGCCCGGCTGTGAAGCAATGAAAGCTGTGTGGGGCCTTGGGCCTTCTCTTGGAAGATCTGGGTCTGTCTGGCCCAGATGCAGTTTGTTAGGTAATTTTCAGATTGCAAAGGGCCAGGCCTTTCATATGCAAAAGCCTCTGCTGGCAGCTTGGGTGGGGCGGGGTCTCAGGGAATCAACAGGGTGGAGCAAACAGCTATGGCTGATCCTTAGCTCTGCCCTAAGAAGCCCTGTGTCTCAGTGTCCTGCAGTAATCGCTGCAAGCACCTCTGAGAGAAAGCGGCCCTCGAGTTCTAAGTTCTGCCAGCTGCCAGACACTCAGTTTCTTCCCATATGAGTCTGGGTACCCAGAGACTTCCCGGATCTGGAGTTCAGAGCAGTCTGGGGCTTGTGACTCCCTCCCGATTCAAAAAGACAGCCGTGTCCTCAGTTGCCTGCCGTTTCCACACGCATGCCTTCGTACCTCTGCACTTTACTTCCACACCTCCTCTGAGTCTCAGTGTGCTTTTCTCTTTCCTTCTAGTTGTAGAATTTCCACTCAGCCCGCCTTCCTGTAGTTCTAGATGATGTCCCTTTTCTCTGGTCATCTTTTTCAAAGAAACCTTCCCTGGTTCACCTTACCACCAATTGCAAGATAAAATTCAGACCACATTCTGAATGAAGCTGACTTTTCTGGCCTCATTTCCTACATCTCTGTACATAAGAGTTCCTTGAGCTTCATTGGTCAGATCACCATTTCCTAAATAGTTTGGCACAACATGGTACTTTGCCTGTATTCTGTTGCTCACAGTACTCTCTACCTCACTTTTCTCTACCTAAATTCAATAGACCCTTCAAGATCTACTCAGATTCCTCCTCTTCTCTAAAGCCATTCCAAGCCAGCCAATCCCTTTATCTCTCTTTCCTGGAATCCTAACTTAATTGATGGTGCTCTTTATATGGCAATGCCTCTCTTGTGATGAAGCTTCTAATAGTGGGGTGATAAAACTGTATTGCTAGCCAGCCTCTTATCATTCACTCAGTCCAATACTCGCATTTTTAAATTAAGAGATGTGCCAAAGGTCACATGGCTAAAGAGTGGCAGAGTGAGGGGTTGAACTCATTGGGGCCTCACCTCCAGCCCAGTACTCATTCTGGTTTGTCATATTGAATGCTAGTTCATGTTCCTATTGAATCCTCAAGCTATTTTTGGGGGGGAGTGTGTGTGTGTGTGTGTGTGTGTGTGTGTATTTGTTGGGGTGATCTAAATGCTGTAACAAACAATGCCTCGGATCACAGTGCAGTGTAGTTGGCAGCTAGGGTGGTGGGTGAGTGTAGACTGCTTTATGCAGTCATTTGGGAATCCAGGCCTCCTTGATACATGGCCTCCAAGGTCACTGAAAAGGCAAATGGAGATCCATATGAAGGAGACACGTATTGGTCAGGCTTGGAAGTGGAATTCGCCCCTTCTTCCCATATTCCATTAGCCACACGAACTCTACTATAGGAACTTAATTGTAGGAAGTCTGGGCAATATTTCCCAGAAAGAAAACAAAATGGATTTGATAAGCACATGACATTTTACTCTGCCATAATAAACATTTACAAATATCAGTTTATCTTCTCATTTTTCTTGAATACCTCCATTAGAAAAATAAGCTCCTTATCTAATGTTTTTTGTATGTACCCTCTCCACATATCCAGTACCTTTAACGTAACAAGGGCTCCAACTGAATAGTTGCTCAAAGAATGTCTAAAGATCCTATTGTGCCCATCATGCTTCACTGCACTGGGTTAAGCATAGAGTGAGACTGACCTTATGCATATGTGTAACTCACTTATGGTCAACAATGGGGAGGAACAAGCTGGCTGGAGTGATTGCTAGTCACTGAGTTTGATGCACACGTATAGCTCTCTAGGCCGTTTTACTTTCTCTGTGTTTCCCCTAGTCATTCAATGCAAGCATCTTTTTTTTTTCTCTTCATTGATTGGAAGTACTGCTTTTCAGAGCATGAAGTGTTAGGTCATGCTCATGTTTGGCACCATCAGATATTCTTGCTTTCCTCCAGTGGTCTAAGCACCAAATCTACAATTTAACAGACATTCATTGAGCCTCAATTATATACCATGTGCTAGCAATACCAGGATGCATAAACATGTTCCTTGCTTTTGAGAAAATGAGTTCAATAATTATACTATGGTGCTGTGATAGAAGTATATGTCAGCAGAAACAGGTGTAATAAAATTGAACATCATCATCATACTTCATTTAAGCAAGAAGCCTTCTAAGATCTGGTTCATTTGAGTTAGCTAAGAGGTTGGGAAGGAAAGAGGGCAGTGTCTTATGATAATTTACTTTGCTGAAATCATGGTAGATAAATATAACATCTTGACCTCCTTTTTATCCCTAAAATCAGATGCATCAGAAGATACACAAATCTCTCTCAACAAAAGATCAGAAAAAATGGAAGATATCCCAAAGCAATGTGAAAATATCCCCTCTTTGGTTGCATTTGAAAATCTCAAAGCAAATGTGACTGCCATGACGCTAACCTTGTTGGTGGAGAACATAAGTGACCTGTCCAGTGATGATTTTGAAGTGGAAATAATAAGAGATTTTGATGTTGGCGTAGTTACCTTTCGAAAATACATAGGTAAGATGAACTGACCCTTCATGTTCAGTCTTCTTTGCACAGCACTTTTGAGAGAGAGAGAGAGAGAGAGAGAGAGAGAGAGAGAGAGAGAGAGAGAACACACCTAAATGAAAATCTAAGTGAAGTCCATGGATCTTAAAGTGATTCTGAGCACAGGAGTGAGTGTTTTCACGTGCTACCTCATTGAGAGAAGTAAAGATGGATCTGTGTTACCAAATTGGACTTGAAGGTAATAATTACAATACTAGCAAACACTCAAATGCTGTTAGTGTAAGTCAGGTACTATGCTAAGCTCTTTACATGTATTACTTAATTTATTCCTTTCAACAACCTTTTGAGATGATTATTATTATTTCTCATTTTACACCTGAGAAGACAGAGGTGCAGAGATGCTAATAAATGAAGAACTAGATTCGAACCCTGGCAGCAGACCTCTATACAGCCTGTTCTGTTATCCCCTTTACCATATATCTTCTCAGTGTTTTCAGGGTCATCTACTTATGCAGGGAGAGTAAGTGCATGTGATGCAGAAAATGAGTGCTCTTTGAGGTCTGTGGGAGGAGTCTGTGAGTTCAAGAGCCATCTCCAGAAAAACGGGGACATTTTCCAATTCCAAGTCCTCACTGTTCCATAGCTGAGGCAGTGGAATGGTTAATTAAGAGCACAGGTCATGCCCTGGCCAGGTGGA